CCCCCCCAAAAACCTCACTCCCCAACACCCTCCCAACCTCCCCCCCAAGGCCTCCCCTTGCCGCACCGTGGAGGGCTCGTCCAGGTACACCACCAGGGGGTCCCCCACAAAGCTGATGGCCACACTCAGCCGCCGCTTCATGCCGCCGCTGTACTGCCGCGCCTGCTTGTCCGCGACGCCGTTGTTCCAGAGGTTGACGGCGCGCAGGCCGCTCTCCACCGCCTCCAGCAGGGCCTTGCCTGCGCACGGGAAGGAGGGGTGGGTCGCCAGCTCAACACCAACACAACATTGCGAGCAGCTGAGCGGTGCTCTACCCCGCTCTGCTGGAGGCGCTGTGCTGCCGTCTTTCCAAGGCAGGGCCCCACAGGCGCGTGCGCGCGCGCGCACCCTGCAGGCCCTTGAGGCGCCCGTAGAACGTGAGGTGCTCGCGCCCCGTCAGCGTCTCCCACAGCAGGTCGTGCTGCGGGCAGACCCCCATCAGCGTGTAGATGGCCGCCATGTCGCTGCGGATGTCATAGCCGCCGATCAGGGCGGTGCCGTGGGTCGGCTCCAAAAGGCCCACCTGCCGGGGGGTTGGGGGAGCGGGGTCTAACATGCTGGCGGCGCAGCACTACGGAATAGCAACTAGGGCTGTGCTCATAACGGTGCAGCAGCAGTGCTTCCAGCCCCACTGCGACATCCCTGCCTGAAGCCCTGCTTCCCCTCCCTGCACAAACGGGGGCTTGCTTTGCCCCATGTCTGCATTCGTTGAGGGTGCAAAGCCTGCCAGAGGGGGCAGCCCGCACCATCATGTTTATGGAGGTGGACTTGCCGGCGCCGTTTGGTCCCAGCAGGCCGAAGCACTCGCCCTTCTCAATGGCCAGGTTGAGCTGGCGCACAGCCAGCTGACGACGTTCAGGAGCAAGGACAGCAGGGTTTGTGAGGGTTGGTTCAGCAGGCGCTCCAAGTTGTTGATGAGTACATCATTGCTGGATTTCGAGTGGCTGCGTGGGCGCTGCGTCAATCACATCAAGCAGGGGCGCCGCTGATGTCACCTTTGGAGGCTGTCCGTCCTGCCCAGGGTAGATTTTTTTGAGCTCCCTCACAATGATGGGGTTGCCCGCATAGTCCACCAGGGCGTTGACGCGCGCGTGCTCTGAGGGGATAGGGCGGAGGGTGTTGCAGGGCAGCGGCTTGAATTGAGTGGTGATGATGCTTGAGGCGGCTTGAGGTGTGCTGAACACCACCAAAACCTGCAGTGACAGCCGACTTCCTTTGGGGAGCGCAGGTTGGCTTGTGTTGTGACTGGCTTGGCGGCGCCCCTGCCCTGCCCCACCTGCGGCGACGTCATCCGCCTGCTCTGTTATGGGCGACACCTCCTGGGCCTGGGCTTGGAGGCGCGCGTTAGCCGCTGCCTTGTGGCCCTGTGTTGAGAGAGGTTTTGCCGGATTTAGGATTTGCTGAACTCAAAGGTGTCAGCTGCAACAAGGAATGATGAGTGGCTGCTGTTTGATGGATGTGAACAAACAACCCGTTCCTGCTACAATTCAAATCACTCTACTGCATGGCAGGCATGCATATACACCAGGCCTTGTCCTCGGCCCAGATTCCCAACCCCACTGAAACCACTGAGCGCCAGCCCGCCCTCCACCTTGCGGAAGCAGTCCAGGAAGAAGAGGGGGTGGCGCCTGTTGCCCGTGCCGCTGGCAAACACCTGCTCCAGGTACCAGGCCAGCGCAATGAACACAAACCACTCGACGATCAGGATGGCCCACACGGTCTTCAGGCCGTTGCCAGGCTCCGACAGAGTTGAGAATGAGATGCCAAATGAGTCGCGGTAGACAGCCAGGTAGGCGTACTCACCAAACTCATACAGGCCCCTGGGGGTGAGTGGTGTTTTTGGTTTTAAGAGAGGGGGCCATGAGGTGAGGTGAGATGAGGTGAGGGTGGGACTCTGAAGGGACACGGCCTGGCTGGTGTGGCGGTTGGAGAAACCGTCCTTGCTGGAAGCAGGTTCCCAAAAGCTGCTTGCGGCCTGCCCCTCTCACACCCCCGCAACCACCCCGCACCTGTAGAGCGCGAAGGATGGTATGAGCTCCACGAGCGTCATGTACCAGAAGTCCCCGCTCATGAGGCGTGACAGCAGCAGGCTGCCAATGAGACCAGTGCCAAACACCACCAGGTAGGCAAAGACTGTGGCGGTCTTGCTGCTGCTGAAGAAGCAGGACAGCAGGAACGCGAATGCGATCATGTTGTGGCCAAATATGATGTACATCACGATCTGAGAGGGGTGGCGCGCGCAAAGAATGGGGGCAGAGTTGGAAGGCGCGGGCAGGTCCAGGCGCGGTCATCAGGATATTCTGCGAATGGCTTCACCAGACGGACCAGGGCCGCTTCACACGCACACATCAACCCACGACGGTCCATGAATACAAGAAGGACAACGTCATGTGCATGCTCTGACTTTTGCCGACCTTAGAACTGCATTCAAAAACCGCTATCTACTCTTCCTCATCCCACCTGGACGCCGAGAGAGTTCTTTGTGAACATGTTGAGGCCGATGAGGGACCCAAAGGCCACGAATATGATCATGTAGACCACATACAGCGCCCAGAACCAGGTGTACGTCACCAGCCAGTACGCACCGTCACCCAGACCGTGCATCTTCATCATCATACGCAGCCTTGGGGTGGGGAGGTTCCGGGGCGGGACATGGTGTTGATTGTGGCTGCAGCTCAGTCACCCATCCTCCACCAACTCATAAGCTGCATATAGTATTGTTGCATCACCAGCTGCCTGCCTCCCTCACCCTCCCAAGCGCACCTCTTCTCCTTCTCGTAGACCAGCTGCATCAGGAATATGGGCAGCAACATCTGCACCACCCAGGTGAAAAACAGGGGCCCCAGCAGGTTGGAGAAGTCCAGCTTGAGGGAGCTGGCGGGCTTGGGTGCCTCCTGGACACCCAGAAGCGTTGCGCTTGAATTGGTGCCTGTGAAGGTTGGGTTGCGGCCTCGATGTCATATCCTGCTAGCATGTAGGCAACAGCAGACGATTGTGTGCCACTGCGTGGCAGCAGGCGCGCCCAACACGACAATACTGTTTCATAGGACTACCCTCGACCTGACATGCTGCGTCCTCCTCCCAAGGCGACCCCTCACCGACAAAGGTGCGTATCCATGCGTTGACCGCCAGGTTGATCACGGCTGGTAGGCGCTGGTACACGGTGCCCTGGCTGGCTGTCACGGGCAGGCCGTATGTGTCATTGTAGTAGATCTCAGGCTCAAACCTGGGGATGAAACATGAAGTGAGTCACGTGAGAGTGAGTTCCGATGAGTGCAAGGGCATCATGGCACCAGGCACCGCGCGAGCACATTGCAAAACACTCGTCATCCCGACACCTCTGCACCCGGCTGAGGCCAAGCTACTGGTAGCTGATCCTGGCAATGCCAAAGGGGTTGTGCCCATCAGCAAGATGTGCCCGTACCCTCCCTCCCTTCATCCTCCCTGCAAACCCACCTCTTGGCGGTGGTGCTCCTCCAGTCATAGGCGGCTGTGTACTGCTGTGATCCTGTGACGCCGCCACAGCGTGACTGGTAATAGCCGCAGTACAGCCGTCTGCTGATCTCAGAGGCAGTGGAGATGAAGGCGGCAGGCATGTCTGTGCAGTTGAGCGCCAGGCTGGTCAGCAGCGACAAAGCCTGCGCATTGGTACTGGTGTTTGAGTCCAAGTCGCTGTCATCAGCGCCACCACGTGCTGTGGCGAGCAGGCTCTTCAGCTGGGAGTTGAGGGTCCGTGCGCTGGCGGGAGTGTTGCTGGCGTTGACCATCGCCGACACCATCTCTGTCAGGGTCACGTTGGTCCTGCCACTGAGGCCCAGCTTCTCGCAGGTTCCCTCAGGCCATAGAGTCGAGAGCTGCGAGGGTGCACATGGGCCGAAGAGTTGCAGGACGTCGTTGCCTGTTCGTGTGCCACATCCGTACGCCTGTGGCGGGCTATGACGGGTACACTAATCTGCTGTTGCACAGACAGCACTGCACATAACCTGTTGCAGCCGCTCCCGCTTCTGCTGCCGTCGTTGCTGCAGCTGATACCGCCGTTGCTGTGGCTTCCGCCGTTGATCCAGCTGCTACCATCGCCGCTGCGACTGCCGCCGCAGCTGTTGTTGAAGTGAACATGCGCATTGTGCACCGCTGACGAGTTGCACAGTGGTCATCTGGAAGTGCAGTCCCCCTCTTGTACAGCTATTTTCTCTGCCCCTGTCCCCAATCCCATGTGCACACCCCGCACCTCCTCGTTGATGAAAGCGGTCTCCACGTACACGCCTGCCAGCACCTTGGCGCTCGAGCCCAGCGTCATGCCCATCATGGTGAGGACCTCGCCGGGCACGCTCAGGTTGCCACCCCCGGCCCCGCTGTTGGCCGCACTCCACTCTGCCAGGTATTCACGCACAGACAGCAGCTTGGCCGCCGTCGTTGCTGGTTTGGGCAGCAGGTTGGAGGCCAGCTTATCCGAGGTGGTCTTGTCCTTTCCTGTGTAGATCAGCACCGGGTCAGGCTTCCAAGGCGCAGCGCGGTTGGCCTCGGTTGGGACCTGTGGGACCCAGGAAGAGGCGCAGCGCGGTCCAGGCAGGAGGGGACTTTATGCCTATAACTTCTTGCGGGACTAGCCAACACCTGTTGGACACGGGGCTGGCGCCACCCGTGATTTATCAAGCAGGCCAGCCGCTGCCCCAATCGCCTCAACTGCCCCATCCCTGCCGCACCTGTAGCACTGCGGGCCAGGACGAGGGGTGAGGTATGTTGCAGAAGAAGGCCTGTTTTGCTGTCGAATACTGGTAGCCGCATTCTGTCTTGGAATTTTCCAAACACTGGTAGGGGCACGAGCCCGTCGTCACAGCGGTGCAATTGTTCTTGTTGCCCTCGAAGCAGCACTTGGTGCAGCGGCAGCCACACTGCGTGGCGAGGCGAAGGTGCAGGAGCGCGTGCAAGGTTCTTTGGCCGCAGCCTGTCATGAAGATCAGCCTGCCCAACCTCCTGCATGCTGCTTGCTCGAGCGAAAGGCCAGCCAGCATGCTCCGCATGCAGCTGAATCATTGATTAAGGGCTCCGTCTGCCGTGGCATTGGCATGCTATTCAATCGTCACCGCCATTGCCCAGGGCCCCCCGTGGGGCTACAATGGCCCGGCATGTTGCAAAACACACCCAGCAGCCAAAACCCAGGGTTCCCCCCTTCTTAAGGGAACACTGCTGTCGACGCCACCACGGCTTACCGAGTAATCGTCGCCTGTCAGCAGCAGCTTGTTGATTGCGATCTGGATTCCAAAGAGCAGCAGGCAAAAGAAGATCGGCGCCGACAGCAGGCAGCAATTGCTGCACCAGTTACGCCGTTGGTACACCGCGTTCTTGCGGTAGAGTGCGGCCGCCTGGCTCTTGAAGCCGGCACCGCGGCCTGCAATGGACACCGCCTCGCCGGGCTGCGGCTGCTGTGGAAGGCCGCCCTTAGTCCTAATCTGGACTTCTGCCAAGGGGGCTGTGGGCATGTCCCCCATTGGCAGCCTCTGGACCTACACAGCCAGTGAGGGGCATGCGTCGCATGCGGCCGTGCTCACTGCATGTGACCAAGCGGCAGCTGCATGCTGGCTTGACCGCCGGCACTGCGCAGGCAATAACTGAGCGAAGCCTGTTATCCACCTGGCCATGGTCACAAGTGGAATGCAGTGCTGCTGCAACCGTGCACCGCATGCGCCGCGTGCCGGATGCACAATGCGGCGATGGCTGCGGCAGCATATCGCCTGCAGCGACGTGTGCCCATCCTCCGCTGGGGACATACACCGACCTGTGTTTAACAACGTTAAACTCACCATGCTGGTCCTGTGAGCCCAACAGCTCGCTGCCGCGCCCGCTGTTCAGGTGGTTTTGAGTCCCCCACGCCTCGCAGCGAGCGCTCCACCCTGGAACCAGCTGGTAGAGACGACTAGAGACGATCAAAACTACCCGGTAAATGGTCCATCAACAAAGGGGCCCACAGCTTTTCGGTTGCACCCCTCGCTCGCTGCGGCAATCAGCCGTGTAGAATAACTTGCTAGATAAAATCCAATTGCTAGTTCCGCCTTGTGTTGCGTTGTTTCCGCGCAAGTCCCGCAAGTGAGAGCTGGAGCACCGCAAGAGCAGTGGCTCTACAGTCCTGCACCTTATCATACCGTACACTGTGTCCCCTGACTGGATTAAGAATCCTTTGCCGTTTTGATGCGCCTGCGCGTGCTACCGGTACATCGTGCCAGCCACTTCACTAAAGGTTGGTCGCCGAGCGGCCAGGCAGCGGGTGCACCCGCCTGGTAATGTCCTGTACAAACAAAGCACCTGTCTCCCAACACACTGGCTGGCGCTTATGTTGCCCCGCTTGTTTCGGTTGTTGACATGATACCGCCCAAGTCGCACTCCATCCAGCTCGCGGCACGCAGAGCACAGCCGCATCCTCACTGTAACTGCCCCGTAACGCTGCACGCGTGCCTGTGTTCATACCGCAGCCGGCGGGTGACATCCATGAGCACCATCAGCCACACACCCGCGAAGAAGGCCCAATTTGTCCTGGATTTGTATTGCACCTATTTACAGCGAATCAAAGCGCTCTTCAGGCACAGCCTTGTGAGTCCCTTGAAGGGTCGATTGCAACAAAGGCCGCGGCAAAGGCTGCGATGGCGCCCGCGAGCGCCGGGGGAACACCCAGGGGAGGCTTGAACTCAGGCCGCCCTCCAACACGGGCTCCTCACAGCGCGCAGCGCGTTTAACGAGCCGCCTTGCACAGGCCTGACATGACGGGCAACTTGACACCCAGTACAACTCACGACATGGACGACACACAAAAAACAGGTCACAATGGGCATCAAGGCCAGACTAGGGAAGAAAACACCTGCTGCTGCTGCTGCTACTGCTGCTGCTACAAAAAGAAAACGACCATGCCACTTCGCTGGCTGAGGACGGCATTGAAACACGCGTCAATACCAGCACACGCCCCAATCCATCCCTGTGCACGCTCCTCCTTCCAGGTGCTCGCCGCTTGCTCAGAGGTTGCTGGGCCTGAAGAGGTTGAAGCCGTCACCGGCCGTGGAGCCAATCATGCCGGGAATCTGCGCGTGCCAGTGCAGCTCCTTGATGTCAGCCTGGCCCGCGTGAACGAAAAGAAGCTGCGCGGGCAGCTCCTCCTGGAGTTTTAGAGGGTGAGAGTGCAGGTCTCGTCAGCGGCTGGGGAGCGCGGCTGTCGCAGAGGGGGAGCACAGACGGGGGAGCGCACCAGCAGGATGGAGCCCAGCTGCGCCGCAGTCAACTGCGCCATGACCAGTGGCCACCCATGGGCCAGTGCACGCTGACGAAGCAAGTCATGACTGACTACGCTGCCACCTCTGCACCTGAATCCAAGCACACCCACGCCCAGCACACGCATGCGCACCTGCGGCACCGCGTTGCCCTCTGGCGCCAGCGCCTCCTCCTCCTCAGGGTCGCGCTCCAGCGCAAGGTCCCAGACTGCCAAGCTGTTGTCGGCACCAGACGTCGCCAGCATGGACGACTCGTACGGCGACCACTCCACGCTCGTGACGGCGCCCCTGGCGAAGGGAGGTGGAGGTGCCGTAGCGAGGGGCGGGCGGTGATGAGGGCAGGGCGCCCAAACCGCTCAGGTGCTCTCTGCTTCGGCCTAGCAGGCTTTCCCATCCTCCCCCGACCACAGCGTGCCGTTTGCAACGCAACAAGGACACCCCCAGGCTGCCCATCAACCCTGCCCAACCCCTGCACCCCATCAACAGCCCCGGGCTCACTTGTGGAAGGCAAAGTGGCTGACAAAGCCGCCGTCCTTAAACGCCCGCAAGTCCCAGATGCGCAGGCTGCCGTCGTCGCCGCCCGACGCCAGCATGTAGGTCACCAAGGCGTTCCAGCCGATGACGTTGACGTCGCAGTCGTGCGCCGCCACGCTGAGCATGCTGCGCCCCCGCTCGCGCGTGTCCCAGATTCGGACCGTTTTGTCCACGCCACAGCTGGCAAACACGGTCTCCTCTGTGTGGCTCCAGGCAATGTCCTCGACGCTGTCCTCGTGGCCATTGTACACACCGCTCACCGCCCAGCCGCCGCCTTCGGCCGGCTCCCACACGTGTAGGTGGCGCTTGCAGTCGCCGCTGGCCAGGCGGCCGGCTTTGACGGGGGACCACCCCAGGGCAAAGCCCTCCATGGAGTGGGTGTGGCTGGCCAGGGGGTTGAGCTGCGAGGGGCATGGGAGGGGGGAGGGAGACAGGAGGGGTATGAGGTTGACCAGCGACGTTCTCAACCGTTTTGTTTGTCGTTGCATGGAAAACAAGTCTCGGGCTCAGATACCGTCATAGTTGATCCTCAACGGCGCGCACAATGCCGTTGTGCACGCCTGCAGAGGTTTGATTAGATTAGATGTTTGCGTCATCAGCGCCCAATCAAAACAGAGTCACAATCAACACACCCATAACCCGTAAACGCATGCGTGCATCAAATCAGGTCAAGGTGACACATCAAGGCTCAGATACCGTCATATTTGATCCTCAACGGCGTGCACAATGCCGTTGTGCACGCCTGCGGAGGTTTGATTAGATTAGATGTTTGCGTCATCAGCGCCCAATCAAAACCTACCCACAATCCATACACCCGATCAACACACCCATAACCCGTAAACGCATGCGTGCATTAAACTTGGTCAAGGTGATACATCAAGGCTCAGATACCGTCATAGTGAATCCTCAACGACGTGCACAATGCCGTTGTGCACGCCTGCGGAGGTTTGATTAGATTAGATGTTTGCGTCATCATCACCTTGTCGGTCCCCGACACGCCACGCATTGCACACAGCAATGGCCACCACACGCCAATCAAAAGGCTCAGATACCGTCATAGGTATTCCTCAGCGGCGCAAGCGCCTACAGAGAGCTGGGATTAGTCAAGTTCGTCATCAGCGCCTCAAAATCAACAAACATGTGCAGGAACCTGCAAACACTACACCGCTTGAAAGGCTCAGATACCGTCATAGGTACTCTTCAGCGGCGCAAGCGCCTACAGAGAGCTGGGATTAGTCAAGTTCGTCATCAACGCCTCAAAATCAACGAACACGTACAGAACATTAACAAACCCCACACCCGTTGAAAGGCTCAGATACCGTCATAGGTACTCCTCACCGGCGCAAGCGCCTGCAGAGAGCTGGGATTAGTCAAGTTCATCATCAATGCCTTCTTCCGACCCCAAAACCCTAAAATTACACAATCACACCGACTCGCAGGAAGCTGCATGCCTCTTCCTGCAGGCATGCGTGTGCGCGTGTCAAACCACCAACTCTTCACTCTCGGCATACACACTAGCAGGCTGGAACTCCAGACAAAGCCTCCCAAATGCTTTGGCCGAAAGCCAATCACCCCAGCACCCACCGTGACCTTCTGGGGCTTTGCCGCTGGCAGCTGCTCCTCCGCGGCCAGCTCGGCCAGCTGTGCGCTGACGTCCAGGATGCGAACCTGGCGGTTGTCGTTCCAGACCGCCAGAACGCCTGGCCGCTGCGGCATCGCCCGTATCCGGTTCACACCGCTGTTCTGCTGGACCAGCCTGGTGCAGCGGGGTGCGAAGGGGGTGCGGGGCGGGCAGCATAACGCGCGGTGGGTCAGGTCACCTTGTGTGCTGCTGCTGCCAACGGGGCCGTGATCCTGTTAATGGCCCTGCTGCACCGCAGCTGCTGCTGCGTAGATGACTTTGCCGTCAAGCAAAAGCGTGCGAAAGGGGCGGCACACTGATGGCCTAAGCCTCTGCCTGCACACAGCATTTCAGCGACCGGTCGCGCCTCAAGACGCCCTTCCCTACGCCGCACCCCGCCCACCTGTAGTGCATGCGCGCCGGCGGCTCCCTGTCGTCCTCGTCATCGCTCGCGTCCATTTCACTGTCGCTGCCGCCCTCCGACCCGCTGCTGCTCTCGTCACTCGAGGACTCGTCGTCGTCACCGCCGCCGCGCCGCCGCTTGCCGTCGCGCTTGCCGTGGCGGCCCTGGCCGAGTGCGGCAAGTTTGAGGACCGCGATGTGGTTCTGCCGCGCCTGCGCGGCCTGCGTGCCGGCGACCATGAAAACGGTGTGCGGGAACGCGGCGCGCGGCGCCCCCAGGTCGTCGCGTAGCATGTCGAAGCTCAGGCAGGGCCACTCCAGGTTGAAGCGATGGAGGCAATCGTAGGCCGTGGGGTCGTAGTCAAGCTCCTCATCCTCGCCGACGGGGTCCAAGCCGGGGCGCCACACCTGCAAGGACAGCAGGTGTGCGACGAGGGGCTGAGGCAGGTGGGCGACGAGGAGGCATTGAAAGGGACCCAGGGCCGCAGCAGCAGAGAAAGCGCACATGAGCAGCAGTGGCCGCCGCTCAGGCGCACGTGCGCATACGCCACGCTCACCGACGGCGCTCCGGCATCGCCTGGGTCTGTATCCATGCTGCTGCTGCCGCCAGGACCGGAGCGCGCGCCGGCTGCTGCCGCCGCTGGCGCCTGCAAGCAAAGCATGACCGCAGCGGGTCAGAGCTTCTCCATGACGGAGAACATGCGTTGAAGCGCGTGTACGAGCGACTGACGCACCTTTTGCGCCTTCTTCTTCTTGCCCGCTGCCTTTTGAGGCTTCCGCATCGCTGCTGCGGGGCGCGCAGCCCGCGCGCGCTGCTTGTAGTTCACAGGTTGTGGGTTTTATGCGGTACAAGAGCCCGCGGCTGAACCAAGAGCGACCTGGGACGGAACGATGGCCGCCGTCTGTCGCGAGGCGACAATGGCTTGTTCCCAAGACGAACGATCGAAGGAGTTATGGTAAATATCAAACATTGACCAGTTACCGAAGCAGGCACTCTCATCAAAGCAAGGTACGGTACACCATAGTGGCGCCTCTCGGCGGCTACACATGCGCTTGGCGCAGTGCTCGTGTTGTGGCACTAGTACCGTCCACTACCGCGCGAGCTTTCAGAAATGATGATGGGGAGTTATTCCTCAAACTGATGGTCGGAGGTTATTGCAACTCAGGACCTGACAGCATGATCGCGGTCTTGAAATGAGGATATTTTGACCAACACAGAGCGCGCTAAATTTGTTATGCGCACGCGGCATGGCAGCAATCTAAGGAGCTGCGACACCAGCACCTGCACCTGGCAGTGGCGAACTGGCTGAAAGCATGCTGGGCAGGTATCGCCACTCCGGTCGTCCACTGGGCAGGTGTCATGGCCTTGAGCCTGCTGGATGCTGCACCACTAAGTGGACACATAAGATTGTTGACACAGAGTGCTTTTGATTCAGGGCCAACCTTGCCCCAACACCACTGTTGTGCTGGCCAAGGTGCTTCAAATATCACCGTGCCCTCCTTCATGCCAGTGCGTGCTGCATGCCAGTTTTGAGTAAATGAGATCAAGTTCCTTCGGAAGGTTGATGATGGAATATCCAAACAGGCATTTCAGCAGATCGATTGGGGCCTGTACCCGCTGCAGGGCGGGTGATCGAGGCACGTGACCGCCGCACATCTGGCGACCCCCTGCCATGGCGGCGTTGGTGCAGCCATGCGAGAGGCGTGGCGTCTGGGAAGGGGCTAGTCGTAGAGATCAATAGATCGCCGGCGTACGTTTGCCATCGCGTTGCTTGTGGCAGTGGCGTCACAGGCGCAGCAAGGACGAAGGTGCCAAAGGGTGCACGAGGGCAGCGCGCCAGCAGTTGAGGCGTGCGTGTTGCGGAGGGCATCGTCGCTTATTGTGTGAGGATCCTCAAATCCAACCTGTTGCTGCTGCACAGCGCAGCAATGTCATGCGGGACATAAATCCCCAAAAGCCGTCGAGACATTGTCAACTCAAGCCTCCGGTGGTTGTAACTGCTAGCGTTGAAGTGATGCCCTCAAGTCAGGCGCGTCACAAGCTTGAGCTCAGCAAAGAGGAGCTGCCCCGCCTTGTTTTTGGCCCGCTGCAGCGCGATGCTGATGAAGCGGCCCTGTTGGGGTGGATTATGTTTTGGCGGGAAGAGGGAGTGTGACGAGACCGGCGATGGTTTGCAACTTTGTGTCAGTGTGCTCAGGGCCTCCGCAATGCGGTTCATGACACGGCGCCCATAAAGGGAGCACGCCAGTTTGGGGCGGAGGTCTCACATGACATGGGGCCGAGCTGCTTCCTCGTACCAACCACCAACCCTACGCTCACCTTGGGGAGTGCCTGGGTGCCTGCGCTGCCGCTCAACGCGCACTTGAGCACAGAGCCAGTGGTGCTGTTGGCCTGCGCAGCCAGGGGGAGTGTCAAGGTGCCACACAGCGTGGCACTGGTCCTGCGGCGTGGCAGAGGAGGGAGGCAGTGGGCGAGGAAGGAGAGGCGACGGAGAGGCAGACGACTGCCTGCTGTTGATCGTGCCTGCGCATACTGTAGCACATCGCACCACAGTGCAGTGCTACCACAGCACGTCGTGGGGCGGCACGGCACGACACGGGCACGGCACAGCACGGTGCGGCCCAGCGCAGCCAGCACAGTGCAGCACCTGACAGAATAGCATACACCAGTTGCAAAACGGCCCCCGGTTTGCAAGGGGTGTGCATGCCTTTGAGAGGTGTGTGTGCCACAGGCTCAGGGCACATAAAACAGGGCCAGTGCAGCCACCGACGAAAACTTCTTTGCGCACACCCACGCGCACCCTGTGTAAAGCTTGGTCTTCTTGGAGGCCACTGTGCTCACGCGCACGACCAGGCTGTCTGTGGCAAGGTAGTCCTTGATTGGCAGGACCTCGTTGGCACGCAGCGTGGGTGCAAACAGGGCCACAGACTCGACAGTCAGGTTTGACTGCAGGTCGATCTGCGTTGGGGGATCAGTATGGTGACGGGTCAGGAGGTTGGGGGCTGCAGCTCATTGTGTTGCGCCGTGCGAGTGAGTCTGACATGGGTGCAAGGAGCAAGAGCGAGCAGGGCGATCAGCACCGCGAGCATGAGCGCGCGCACCTCGAACCAGGGGTTCTTGGAGGAGCCTGTGAGGATGAAGTCGTCGAAAACACCGTTCACTGCCAGCGCTGCGGTGCCGTTGACCTTGCGCTTTGTGGTGCGGAGCTTGACAGCCTGGAAATGGAAGCACAGGTGCAAGTGCGGCAAGGTGACCGTGTGGCGGCAGGGTGCAGTATCCAGCAAAGGCTACCAACGGGGGGGGGGGGTGCAGTTGGGCATGGGTGGGTCAGCACATGTTGCAGCTGACAGGTCCCAGTTTCTGTGACCTCGCATCAGGTGCGTTTGTGCCACACCAGCGCCCCGCCCCTGACGCACCCTGGTGCTGGACTGCTTCACGGGCAGCGCAGACACCGGCAGGTTCTGAGGGCACAGTAGGGCGCCCGGATTGACGCTGCAGTCGCCGATGCGGCCGTCCACCGCTGGCGCTATGGGCGTGAACGTGGCAATGTAGGCTGACAGGACCTCGTTGAGGGGCCGTGAGGTGTCGATGATCAGGGGGGCGTCACCCAGCACGGTGTACCTGGTAGTGGGGATGGCCGGGGGCGCGGTGGTGGTCATGGTGGGGGGTAGGGACGCCAGCGAACGCCCGCAGGTGGGACCAAGGGAGCAAGGGCTGTGCAGTGCATTGCTGTGCAGAACAGTTCACCACATCTTTTGGATCCCGCAAGTGTTGACTGCAAACACTCCCATTTTCCGGGGGTGAAAAAGAGAGATAGCAAGAAGCTTCTGAACAAACACCCCAGATGACAACGTGTGTGCCGTGGCTGGTTGTGTGATCACGAAACAGGACCGCAGATCAAGCACAGTGTCACGCGCACCCGTCCCCGGCGGGCACGAGGCCCATGAACTGGTTAGTCGCGACGATGACATCCCCGGTGTACTGCACTCCCAGCTCCCGGCCGTCATCCAGGACGACACGCCCCAGGCGCTGAGCAGCCGGCTGGGCGGAGGAAAAGGCGTAACGCAGGCCGGCTACCTGGGAAGACGGAGAGGTGCGAATATGATGTTGCTCGGTCATGCTCAGGAGGGTTGGCAGAGATAGCACGATAAGCTTGGGTGCAGGCAGCAACAGGTGGGCGTGCGGGAGGCCGATTATACCGGGGGTGGCGCCTGCACGATTACCAAAGGCGACACACTGTCCTCTTTTTAAAAGACATTTCTGCCACCCCAGAGGAAGGACACTAGGATTTGCCGAGCACCTGAGGGAAACGGCCAGCGGGCGCCGTGGCCGACCACTGGGAGACGCCGTTCTGCAGCGCCGCGATGACGTTGGCGGCCGACACGCGCTTGACCACGACGTAGTTGCCAAAGGGCGAGACGGTGATGAGGTCGCCCTGCTTGATGGTGCCCGCGGGGATGGAGGCACGGATACCGCCACCGTTCTGGATCGAGACCAGGGGCAGGCCCTTGAGGGCCGGGTCTGCCAGGATGTTGGTCTTGGTCTGACACGCGGGACCGACGGGGGTTGGAGAGTGAGGGAGGGATGGTGTGAGGAGGCGCGTTTATGCTAGTGGGCACGCAGCAACGGTTCAAGTGCTTGGATGCGAGAGTGCATGCGTAATCTTTGGGTTTCGCCCTCATGTGGGAAAATGCTGGCGGCTGCAGCTGTTCATGCACCCAAGCTCAAGCTGTGGGCCCCCCGGCCAACTTGACCACAACCCAGTCAGCCTGCCCCCGCGCATGGCTGCCCAAATTCCTCCCGGCAAAGCGGCCCCCACCCTTTCCCACCCCGCCCCTGCAGACGCTCACCTTGATGAACCACTGGATGGCGTCGCAGAACAGGTTGCCCAGGTTGGTCTCCTTCTGGCGCACTGGGTTGGCCAGCGTCGCGTCAGGCGTACCCGCCAGGCCCGTGGTGCCGGTCAGGTAGACACTGCTGGTGCCTGAGGGTGAGTCCAGGTTGAAAAGGGCCGCAGCAGCGTTGATGCCGCTCTGTGAGCTGCAGTACAAAGGCAAGGCAAGACGCCGCAGGTTGGGAAGGCGAGGTCCAACCACTTTGGTGTTGATGGTGGAACAAGATCATGACAGGCGAGTGCGTCGGGCACGACCTGGCTATAGCGCCGCGGCAAGCCGCGTGCCCGCCCTAGGCACTTGGATTGCGGCCGACAACACCCGAGCTGAGAGCGGCACCCGGTGGTTGCACGCACCGACCACCTCTGCAGCCAGGGCGTCCACGGGACCACGCAGTGCAAGGAGCAGAGCGTCCGTGGCATTGTCCGAAGCGACGGGGTTGGAGCTGTCGGCGCCTCCCAGCAGCAGCGGCTTGCCGCTGATGGCGGTCAGATCCCCCGTGGCAGAAAAGACTGTGTCGAGGACACCCAGGTACCTGCCAGTGCCCAGAGCACGTACGATGGGAGGAATCAAACTGCATGCAGCCTGACTGTTCTTGGCTACGGGATTTTATAGAAGAAGTTGATGCTGGCATATGACGCACTGCACACCCATCCGATTGGCTGCCACAGGCCCCGCAAGGCCCTGCGACCAGCAAGAGTCCACACTGCAACGGCGGAGAATCAGGCTACCTGGATCCCCACAGAGCTGATGTCACCGGGATGCTCTTGGCGCCGTTGGCCACGGGCCGGGGGTAGGCACCAAACACAGGCGTCGTCTCAGCCACGGTCATCGGCTTCACCAGCAGTGCAGGCGGCGTCCCGGTGTAAAACAGGCTGTGGGAGTGGCCCCCAATGATGAGATCCACGTCAGCCAGGGCGGGGTTGGCGGCAAGTGCCACGTCCACGTTTGCCCCAACGTGGGTCAGCGCAATGATGATGTTGGCGCCCGCGGCCTTGGCGCTCGCCGCGCAAGTGGCCAGGGAAGTGGCTGGGTCGCTGAACACAAGGTTGGGGCCTGCAAAATGGGCACGCAAGGCACGGAATCAAGCCGGCTCAACGGGTGACTATAATGCCGTTTGTGTGGTGCACCTGGCCTGCACAACGTTCAGATGTCTTGCAAAACGCAGCTCGGTGCGTGACACTCCTTGTATGAACCGCTTCGTAGTGCGCAGAGCTTGCGGCTGAGAATTCAATCGGCGTTGTCGCAGCAACATGGCCTACGCCAGCGCCCACCACACATGCGCGCGCGCACACACACACACACACACATACACAAACACATACACACACACACACGCACCCGGGGAGGAAGAGGAGGGTGTGTCTGCTGTGGTGAGGCCAATGATGGCCACCTTGGCACCGCTTATTGGCAGGGTCACCAGGGCAAACGGCTTGATGTTGCCCGCTAGGAGGGGCTCCTTGCTCGAGTCAATGTTGCAGCTGGTCGTAGTGGTATTGAGCAGGCCCAGGTAGGGGCCCAGAACAGCTGGGCTGTAGTCAAACTGGCGGTGGCGTTCGCAGGACGGAGTGAAGGTTGAAAGGGCAACAAGCCGCACTAGCTAGCTTGCTGCTGGTGCTCATGCACAGGCAATATGTACGTGGTGTAAAGCATGAAAGCGGCCGCAACCTGAGTTTTTCTCTCAGCGACGAGTCGATGTCACAAAATAAGCAGCAGAGCATGGGGCCGTGTTGTTTGGCACAGCTGAAATTGGCACGGCCGACAATGCCAGCATGTCGAAGTCATGCAAGCTGCACCTCATGGTTGCCAGGTGTGAAGGCGTCCAGGCCTATGAGGTTCAAGAACCGCTGCGCCACATGGATGCCGTTTCGCGAGTACACAAAGTCCCAGGTTGTGCCCTGGAACTGATCGCCTGTGCAACAAGAGCGTGGGGATGGGGAGTGCAGTCATGCGACGCAGGGGCAGCCCAATGTGAGACAATGTGTGCGGCATGGCAATGCGCAAGTGGTGGGCTCATTGCATTGGGGCCGGTCAGCGAGGGCTAGCGCACATGCACTGGACTCACACATGCATGAACACCTTGCGCACCATCAACACTTGATTTAACCCCGGTGTGCCTGTATCGCACCGATTGGGCTTGCTGTCAAGTCTCGACCATTCTCCGTCTCCCACCCAACACAGCATCCCGGATGAACCCTCCGTGTTGCCAGTCGCTCAGAAGTTCTCCCTGCCACCTGCAACTCCCCTGCTTCCGCCCTGCACTTGAGGCCTGTTGTACTGCTGACCCAACCGAAAGCAGGCAGCCCCCTCACCTGCGTGCAGCACCAGGATGTCCTGCCCTGCAGCCGCCGCATCCTTGCGTGCCTGCTTCACGGCTGTGGCAATGCGCGAGAATCCCCCAAAGCACTGCGCCTGTGCCGCCGCGGTCAGGCCGCAGGGGCCGAACGAGCTTGTGGCAGGGTCGAACCTGCAAGAAGGGCGAGCCGGACGCTTGCATGATCATCAACTGGGCTGAAGTCCTTGAGTGCCCTTGCCTGACGGGGCAGGCGGCCTGTGAGTGCATGGCGCAAATTTGCGGCTGCGGCGCCAGGGGTGGCGCCAGCATCAAAGTCCAAAAAGTGCATCTAGGGTCACCATGACGGTGGCTGCGGCGACTGTGCGCCACTGGCCCACCTGGCGTGGTTGTCGTTGATGTGCACGATCTTCAGGTTCAACGCCATGCTGTGGTGTGAATAAGGTGGGGCCGGCGAGGCGGGGTTCAGCAGGAGGGGTGCGAGTGTTTTGTTTTGTTGCCGACGGGGTGTCATCGGGAAGGCCTGAGCCGGAGGGGGCCCGCTGGCGAGCCCAAAATGGTCCATGCACGCTCCGTCAAGGCATGACATGCACGGAAAAGTTCTGCTGGAATGAGTGGAGTTTTTGCGCCTGCAAGCCCCGCAGCCCTCTGTGGCAGCAACGCACGGAGGCACCAGAAAGCATGCTCCTCGCGCACCAGGGCAGCAGCCCGCCAAACGCCAGCAGCGCCACCATCAGCACGGACGGCCCCATCTGAGGCATGGTGATGCCGGGCATGGGAATTCTGGATGCGTGATGGGACAGGGAGAGGAGGGGGTGGGATGAAATGGGGATTGTGGGGAGTGTCCCCAATATGAGCCAAGGCGGCGTCACCCGATGCGGCATCCACAGGGCATCGCAGGGCACGTTCCCACGGTGTGATGGCCACCGACACAAGAGGACAAAGCAGGGGCAGGCCTCCAAGCAGCAGGACGTCGGCAGACTGGGTACAAACCTAGCATTCAGTTAAACTGTGTTCCGCGGCCCTTGTCCAAGCAGCACACAGAAGCGCTGCACCAAGCAGTGCGCGCACTGCGCACGGAGCGCAAACCCTGCCCATGTCCCAGCGCGGGAAGTACTCGGTTTGCAGACGTGCTAAAGTCAAATTCAATCGAAACGCGAGTACCGTGCCGCTGCGACCTTACGGTAGTCTTCGTCGGAGTGTCTGACAGCGAACTCCCGGCCACGCATGCGCCACATAGGGCGTCTGACCCATTACCAATTCAGGCACTTCAGACATGCTGTTGCGCTTGATGACTTCATATCTCAAGCACTGCGCAGGTGGCGTCACCCCAATGGGCGATGACTTTGATGACGACGGCAGTGCAAGTGCGCAGTTCAACAATAACTCAACTACCGTCGGTGCGTAGGGTGCGCCAGCCGCGGCTGTGATGCAATGGATGACAATATCTAGAGAGGCTCCAGGCGCAGCAGGCTAGTCCATCTGGCTGGCCTGTGGTTGTTTCCTTGCCACAGGAGACGGGACTCGAATGTCCTGTGTGGGAAGGGCAATTGCACAAGCAGAGTCTTGGAGCAAGCACCCCAGATGTGCAGAGCACACATGGATTTACATACTCACACAACCACTCCTGCACTCGCACGTTCCCGCCAGTCACCCAACGTGTTCCCCCCTTCCCCAGATCTTTCCCTGTACCTGCTCTGATGACCGCCGTGTCTTGTCATATTTTTAGCCTGGAGTGCGACAGCACCCCCCCCCCCCCCGGAAATCACGTCCCCGACCTCTTTTTAATTGTAGAGCAAACAGCCTCAGTATCAAATCTGAACTGCACGGGACATCCAAGGTGTTGGTGCGAGTGTGGCTAGCAACGTTCTTTTGTACCCATGCCGCTTTCCGGTCTAGCTGATGTAGAGAGATGTCAGGTATGAATTTTGTTGGGCAGGGGTCCTGCCCCATGCCTGCGCGCAACCCAGGACACATTTGGCACTGCATTTGCATCGGTTACTCTCAGCCGCAGCGCAGCAGTACCACAACAACCCCACTCACACCAGCACTCACAGCAAGAGCTTTGCAGAGGTCTGCAGAGAGCCACCGCCGCGGCAGTGCAAGCACAACGGATCCCCATACATGGGCTTGGTCGCCACGAGCCGCTATCTGCCCCTCAGCCACGACAACCACCATCATCACCGCCTGCTGCCGCCACGACGCAGCGGCCGACCAACCCGCCAGCTCCGCCAACGCCTCCGCGTGCCATGCTCCCCGCCTCCCCATAGCAATGCGTCCTTCACTTGGTGTCTTTCTTGACCCTGACCTTCTCCCGCTTCTTGAGTGAGTCCATGTGGGCGCGAAGGATGAGGGCGTATGACGCCTGGAATTTGACGTGCTGCTCCGCCGACAGGTGTGTGCTGATCTTGCGCTTGCCGTCTGTCGCGCGAATAAGGCAGCGGTGGTCGGCCTCGGCGACCTTGGCCTTGCCCTTGCGAGCCTTGAGCGAGCTTCGTTTCATGGTCACAAAGACTGTGCCCTTGCCCTTGTTGCGCTCGAAGAGCTTGTTGAGCTCATTTAGGAAGGGATCCGGCTCCAGCAGGACCATCACGCTGCAGTTGCTGCTGCTCCTGCTGCTGTTGTTGTTGCTGCTGCGCGTTTGGTGGAGGTGGTGCTGATGCTGGAGGGACGGCCGCGTCAATGCAGCAGGTGAGCAGCGCCTGCGGCAGGTGCATAGCGATCGCAGTTTTGGCTGCAGTTGCGAACAGGACAATCACCAATGCACTTTGGAACTGAAGGTACCAACCCGGCAAAGGCCTCCCATTCGGCCACATCAGTACAACACAGATCAATACTGCGCTCGACCAGCTGCGTCAGGAGACGAGCATGAGTCCCATTCGCCTACCCGGCAGGAGGCTGGTGACCAACGTCCAATCCCCCTCGAACACTCCACGTACGTCGTGATAAGGGCGCGCAGCTCAGATCTGCGCTTGCACACGGCGATCGTGGCAACTATACTTGACAAGCTTGCTCAACCAATGATTGCAAGCGTGTGGATTGGGGGGAGACAAAATGAGGTGGGGATTTGGCCGTAGAATGAAGTGCTCCTGTAGGTGAGCCGAGACCCCTGCCAAGACTTATGCACAGAGGGTCCGAGGTGCAGTGCGCATCCTCCCAAGGAGCCCGTGTGGCATACTGTGCGCCATGTTGCATGCAAGCACAGACTTCCACTTTATAGAGGGAAATGTGGCAATGAACGGAGGACGGTAGAGGGGCGGTTGCCTGTTGTAGACGGGGTGGGGCAAATCCGGCCTGGGGGCTGGCATTGATCCACCACAGGCGCTTACCCGGACCTGGCAGCTAGGCATGGGACAAAGCCTCTGATGCACTGACTGCTGGGCGCGACACGGCTGCTGGCGAGCAACAGCGCAAGTCGCAAGCAAGAAACACAGCCCTGGCCTGATTACAAGCAGGGAAAGCGGAACTGCTTTCCTCTTGAGCCAGCACGCGCCATTTGTCTCGCTTAGTCGTGCACGCAGATGGTGACATAAGGGTACGTATCAATGGTTTGCACAGAACGTTCAGTGCATCGTTCTGTGGGCATGCCACAACCTTGTCGTTTCGTTGAGCCTGCCTTGCCAAGGGAGCAGGACCGACCGCAAACGCAGCAGTACATAGTGCGGTGTTACGCAGGCTCACATCAATGTCGCACACTATGCCGACGATGATCGGGCAAAGCTCTTTCGTTGGGAGGGGGCTGTACCTTTTGCTTGTCGTTGCCGTGGGTTGTAGCAGGCGTGGGGGCGCTTCGGGTGGCGGTGGACGCGTTGGAGCAGCCAAGAGCACATCAAAGCCACAAGGGGTGTGCAGACGGGGGTTGGTGCGATGGCTCGGCAGATATCCCCTGGTTCGGGCATGTGGTGAGTGATGCTGCAGGAAAGGCTAAAGCACCAGCACGCGGCGCACGCTGGGGTGACCCTGCAGGTGTGGGGATGGGAGAGAGGCGAAACGCTACAACGCGTGGCTAACAATTGGTTGCTTTCCAAGACCAGGAATGCTTCTTGACCCAATGGGAGGGCCTGGCAGGCGCATGGGATTGACACGGGTTGTGCTCTGGAACCCCGGGTGCCTCGGGCGGTCGCTGATCCGCACACGGCAGTGGACCCATACAGCACCCTGGCCTCCGATGCGCAGCGCGTGGTGACGAATCGGCCGTTTCATGCGGACAATAGGTATGCCATAAACCACCAATGTGCTGCCCAGACAGAGCTTGGGCAACATTGAATGTGGTCCGTAGTTTTGCGTTTGCCGAACCCGCAAAATGGCGCGCGAAGTAAGGTCGGCGGGGCGCTCACAGCTGCTGCGCGTCGATCACGGCCGCAGACGCGCCCTGTGCTGTGCGGCACGAGGGAGGAGACCAAGACACAGCAACGCGACGCTAATCTCAATCTCCCTCCAGAAGCAAATTCAGGGCCAGGCAAGAAAATGTGATGCAAATTTGACGACGCACTCTGTAGAAAGCAGCGAGGGCGCTGCGGCGCTGATGCGCCCTCCTGTGGTCGGCCTTCGATGGCCCCCAAAATCCCTTTGGTGGCAGCCACAGAGGCAGGTGCCAGCCTCGCACTAGACCCACGCATTTCACAAGTCCGACGAGCTGAGAATGAATTGCGCGCTGTGTGCGATCACGCATCATGGGGCAACCTTGTGCAGTCTTAAGCAGTGGCATCGCAGGCAGCTGCCCGCGATTGCCCAATCCCCCGCTAACAGTTTGCTTCTTGCTGGCCGGCCCTGGGCACGCTGCAGTGTCGCTACCACCACCGCTCCCGCCGCCACCCGCAGCAATCAGGCACAGGCGCCTGACCCCCTCGCTCGCCGACTGGGTCGCCAACTGGCCTGTAGGGGTGATGCATTTGATGCGAAACACCCCGCTGGCTGCTGCGCCATCATGGAAACTCCTCCATGGCGGGAGCACCCTTGGCCCGCGCCGCGACCACGCTGGCCGCCAGGGGGCATCCAGTGTGTGGCGGGATCGGCCCAGTGCCGCTGACAATGTCAAGGGTTGTGCTCGCGCGCATGCTGATGGCTGGCCCCACTCCATTGGCCCCGTGGCTGCCATGGTGGAACCTGACAACCACCACGGTGATGTCATCCACGACGCCCTCCTCCTCCACCAGCCATCGCTGGAAGGCCTCCTCGACAAGCTGCAGCAGGGCCGGGGGCGGGGGTGTGAGTGTGCATGGGCGCGCGCAAATTCGTGCGTTTGTGTGAAGTGTTAGGGGGGGCTTTGCGAAGGCATGATTGGCGACCCGGGCAGGCGGTTGAGAGTCTTGACTGACAAGCGCCAAGCATACAGGCAATCGAGCAGGGGAATTAGCGCTAATGGCATGCTACTCAGTGCTTGTGTCTCTGGTGCAGGGCTGGTTGACCCCCTTATGGCGGATTTCAAGGACATGTCCAAGCCTGTAGCACCGCGTTCAAACACCTGTGAGACTTTCAAATCAACTCACCGCCTCCCCTGCTTCCTCGGGATCATCCAGTGCCGCCACCAGCTCAACAGCCTCCTGGCTGCTGATGAACTCCCACACACCGTCTGAGAAAGGAGTTTGACAGGGGGAAGGGGGGGAACATCGCGGCAGGACAGACGAGAGCAACAGCGACGGTGAGGTCGCTCAGTGGGGCTGCCGCTGACAAGCGCCTGGGGCGGTCCCGCCGCACAGTGTGATTATGCGCCTCTCCCGTCGACTCTTGTCACTTGCTCGGCGCAGGCACGGCCTGATCATCAAGGCCACAAGAAGCCCAGCCCAATCGTGCATGGCCGCGAACCCGCCACCCACCCTCTCCCGCCACCCCCCCCCCCTGAAACCACGCCCACAACCAGCAAAGGCCCCTGTAGCACCTCAGCGCCCCTCTCAATCCACAGCCTATGGAGCCAAGTCTTCCTCCCTCCTGTCCCTATGGGGCTCGCCCATCACCTGAGGCCAGCACCATGAACCGGTCCTCTGGAGCCAGCGCCACCTGCTGGTGCTCCGGCTCTGACGACACACCCACCTGGCAGGGGGAGGTGCGCGAGGCAGCTGAGGGCTGGGGGTTTGAGGGAGTGCGTTTGAAATACTGCAGAGACAACAGTGTGGGCTGCACCATGTTGCGAGGCTGGCTGCAAAAACTTGAAGGCAACAGCTGCGGCATGCGATGGATTTAGTGCGCAACACCATCGCAACCCCGCAAACAAAACCCCATGCCCCTCAGCGCCCCACACGTGATACCTCTGCACAGGCCCATCATGCGCGCACCAGCAGCCCCTGCCCAGCCCCTCTTTCCCCACCCCCCCCCCCCACCTGGTGTGCCAGCTGGTCCCCGAGCGCGCGGCTCATGGCCAGGCCTGGGACCCAGGCGTACTGCAGCCACACGCGGTCAGGGCCCATGGGCTGGCCCAACTCGTCGACGAGCCTTCGAGAGGTTGAGGAGGCAAAAAAAGTTCGTGAGGAGGATGGAAGCGAGTCTGTGCAATCGGTGTTCGGAAGGCCGCGCGAGACGCAAGGCGGGCGCAAGAGCAGGTCGCAAGTTGATGCCGCGAGCAGGTGACCTCTGAAACACCTAGTTGACGTGGGATGAATCGAGCAAAGACGCCCCTGCCCTTTCCCTGCTGCGCAATCTGGCAGTGCTGCACGCCACGGCCAGCTGTGCGCGCACCTCTCCACTCGCCCCTGGCTGCGTAGGATGCGCTCCTTCTCTCCCGGGTTGGTGGGCTTGTGGTCTGCGGTCAGCTCCACCGCCTCCCACGCACCAGACGGCGACAGGCGGCCCAGCACGCAGCGGGAGTCGCCCACCCATGCCGTCGTCAGCTGTGCGCCCTGAGGGTGGGTACGTCAGCCCAGACCAGAGGGCGCGCATGTGGAAGAGTGTGTGTGACTGAGTGAGTGTGTGTGTGTGTGTGTGTGTGTGTGCGCGCGCGTCTCTGTGTGCGCGCACACGCGCGCCTGCATGCGTGCATGTGTGTGTCACAAACACATATGCACGCGCGTACCTACGTGCCTGTGCACAAATGCGAGCGCGCGTGCATGTGTGTGAGGGGCTGGCGACCCAGGCACTGCATTGATCCTGTGAAACCTATGCTGAGCGCCTGATCAACATACTTTGCGCCATTGCTGTGGGCACAACCAACCAGATGCGCAGCCCCCCATCCCGCCCACCTTCAGGTGTGCCACCACGCACGTCGACCCGCTGAACTCGCAGTCAATGCGGCTGCACCCCAGACGTGCGTCACACTCCAGAAAGCCCTCGGAAAGCGCGCGCATCGCGCAGTCGCCGCTGGCAAGGCGGTCCGCCAGCAGCAGCGGCAGATGCTGCTTGACAAACGACGACACCAGGTGGCCTGTCAAAGAGGTGAGGCAGGGGATGCGGGGCGGCGCAAGGTCACCAGCACATGAGCCGGCTGCAAGGCCGCAACAAATGCGCAGGCCCCCTCAGGCGACTAAAGCTGCTGCATGCACCTGTGATGGCAAGGAATCAGCCACCGACCGGCGGATGTTCCCATTCCCTGTAGCCTCAGTCCCAGAGCTCCTCCCTCCGCTCACCATGCGGGCCGTGCCCGTCCATAGCGCCAAACAGGCTCTCGTTGTCCCCTATGAATCGCTCAAACGCAAAGCAGCTGTCCTGATTGGTTTTCTTGTAGCCGGGCTCGCGCCCCGCGCGGCTCACACACGCGACAGACATGCCAAATGTGCGGAGAGGTCCCACGGTAGCGAAGTGGTCGCCCTCGCCGTCGCCGCCGGCCTCGCCGCCCCCCTCTGCCTTCAGGCGGGCAATGTCATTCTGCAGTGGTGGTGTTGGGTACCGTAATAGCACCGTGCTGCGTCAGCGAGAGATGCCATGGTGAGCAACCGCGAGCTGCACCAGCAGCCGGCGTCAAGGCAAGAGCCTGCCCAGGCCGGCTGCTGGCCTCTGGAGCAACTGTCCAACCCCACGAGCACCCCTTCTTGTCACGACAACGTCCCCTCGCGGCCAGCCCCAAACCAGCAGTGCGCACGTCGTTTGTGATGTACGACAGTCGTCGCCGCCGCGTGCCGCTGTTGCGCCGCACCACCTCCCCTTGGTCCGTTGGCAGCCGCGCGCCCTGCGCCTCCTTGGAGCCCTGCTGCTGCCCGCTGCCCTCGCATGCGCCGCTTGTGGGTTCGTTGGGGGCACCTGCCTGTGGCACGTGGGCGGCCTGTGGGGCTGCCCCTTTCTCAACTGGAGCTTTGGCCGCTCCAGGTTTGACGTGGCCCTGAGGCGTGAGAATCACAGGCGGGCAGGCAGGCAGGCATGTCAGGGGCCATGCTAAGGGGCCCGCGCAGAGACACGTCGCGATGCACGCGCCCCAGCCGTCAGCCGCACCGCAGCCGCGGCAACATGCAAATCGTGTCTGATTACTGCCACATGCATGCTGATAGCGGCGATGGCGCGCTAGATGCCCAAGGGGATCGCCATGCGCAGGCGCACCCGTGATGATCGTGCCTGCACAGGCCGGGTGCTGCTCACCCTGCGATCAGCCCACACGGAGCTGCAGCCTGGCGGCTCACCTTTGCATCGGCGCTAACGCTCAAGCGCCGTGCGCGAGTCGTCCAGGCCTTGCTGCCATTGACCTCTGCGGTAGTGGACACGGAGAGCGGCGCGCTCGCAGGTGACGAGGGCAACGGCGCCGCGTGCGCGCGGTCATCGCGGGCGCCGGGAGAGTGAACCAAGAACGCTGCCGCCCAGACCAGCAGGCAGACCCTTGTCGAGGGAGATTTGCGAGGCCCAGGTATTTGCCATGCCGCACGCCCAGCAGCAGCGAGCCACCGCAGCTCCCCGTTCAGTGACAAACGGGGTGTATCGCCGGCGGCCAAACGACCTCGACGTGGACGCAGTGCAAGGCATCCGCCGCCTGAATCCATGCCGCACCCATAGGTTCAACGAGGCCGTCGCTCTCATCATCCGCCACGGCTGGGTTTGAGGAACACGCCTGACCCATGATAGAGGTGCTCGCAAGTTCGGGACTGTCTGGAGGCACTGTCGCCGTTGTATCCTCTAGCACTACCCTAGACAGACGCCCTCCGGCATAAAAATGCCCGTGCAGAGGGCCCAAGGCAGCGGGCGTTGTGGCCCCGCTCTCTGCAAAGTTCACAGACACCTCTCTGACACACCGGCAACAAGAACTTTCAATTGCAGTTTACTCTAACGAGCCCAGATCGCGTGGGGACGTACATATGCCACACCCTCGCGGAACGGCAGTCGAAGATATATCCGTAGTGATCGTTAGCGCCTATATGACCTTCGGGTTGTTGTGCTTTGCGATCAAAAGTCCTGCCATATCAATCAAAAGGCCGTCAAAATGCAGGTGTACTGTGGCAACAAGGCGGGGGCTCAGCTGCGCGGCGCCAGGTGAGGCCTCGAAGCTATTGCGCGAGTCGCGACAGCTTCAACGTGTTTTAATGGACCTCTGTCGCATCGCAGGGCGGCCTTCGCGACGGCCAGGCCCACTCTGCAGGTGAATGTGTGGGTTGCAGCGACCCGCTGGTGCCTGATGCCTGTGCCGGGGTGTCTGCTGCGGGTGAACACACTTCTTGAATCCCGATCTAACACTCCAGCGCCCTTCCTTGGGCTTGCAGGCACGCCAGTCGCGCTGCCGCGCGTCGGCGCAGACCGCTCAGGCGCAGGCGACCACAGAGGAGTTTGTCGAGGTGCGAGGCCCATTGGCGCGGGGGGCTCTGAAAAGGTTTATGGTGTCCGAAGTATTTGGGCAGCAGCGGCGGCGTGGAAATCGCGGCTGCGACCGCGGCGGTGTGGGCGTCTGTCCCTTTATGTCGACCGTCGTACGCGTCTGTCCCTCCGGCGAGGCGTGTCTTGATTCACGCTAGCAACAATGTGTGATCGCATATGTTGATGAGCGTGCTCCTCATATCTCGCTTGCAAGCCTTGCCCTCTCACCCTGGCTTCATTTTGACCCCCCTGATCCACAGGTTGACCTGCCCAAGCCGCTCGGCCTGCGCTTCGCACGCGGCAACGATGGTGGCGCGTATGTCGTGGCAAATGACCCCAAGCTTGGCAACACCGATCCCCGCATTGAGGTGCCCGTGCCCGGCGGGCTGCCTGCCTCGAGCGCGCAGGGGGTGCTGCTGTGCGGCCCAAGCCCTGCCTGGCTCACAACAGCAGTTTGCTGGCCCCCGCAGCACGGCTTGCCTGCCGCGGCAGCAGCATGTGTTGACGTTGTTGAGGGCACCGAGAAGCCAGCAGGCGCCGCCGCGTAACACAGCGCGCGACAAACACACTGCGGGACACCCTGCTTGCCGCACATCACGCTCTGCACCCGCACCTGCCGCTCTCCGTGCCTGTAACATGCCAACTTGCTGCCACCCACTCACCCACCCCATACCCACCCCCACAACCCTGC